TCTGTTATTTTATATGTTACATTATAGTATAACATAATTATTGTGCTTATCTAAATGCTATTATGTATACATCTATTTTTAATACATCAGTTGAACCTACAATAGCCTATTGCAGGTTCAAATGATTTACTCTATTGTCAATAAGACATACTTTACAGGTTTTTACACGTGTACTAATATTTATTTTTTTCACTGATAAGTCTTTAATAATTAATTTTATTTACCTCTAACAAAAAATATCGAAAATAATAAATGAGTTCTCTTAATTTAAGAGTACTCAATATTTGACTCAAATTACCCTCTTGGTAATTATTTAGGTGGAACCTTTTGCTCTTAGTTAAAATAAAAACATTATTATTATTTTTTAATTGTATTCTTAGTATTTGAAATACTTTTGTAAAGTAATTGAGTATTACTCAAATACTTTTGTATGAAAAGTATTCAAATAGTATTTTAAATACATTTTTTTTTAAATATTTGAATATTATTTAAAATACTTTTTAAAAGTATTTNATATTTGAATATTATTTAAAATAATTTTTAAAAGTATTTTTTACAACTATGGATATTTATAATATAAGATCACTTAGGATATAACTACGGAATATTCCTCATAAAATGTACTATTTAATGATATAAATTCTATACATGCAAATTGATCTAAAACAACGCCAACAATATAATCTAAACAAAAGTATAACTTAAATTATCTAATTAAGGTGTTACCAATGGGTGACATCCTTTAATGTTATAAATGTCATTATTTAAAATGTCAAAAAAAAAAACTTATTGTAAATTTAAATTGTACAGATTGTTTTTCTAATAAAAAAAAATTTTTTTGATGGTAATGTTTTCAACTAGTTAAGATTTGTGAGCTATCATTTTGTGATCTATCAATANGCTATCATTTTGTGATTTTCAATTTGTGGTTTGCGACGTATCGTTGAGTAAAATCGGTCAAGTGAGATCTGAAAAAAGTTGAACAGACATAAAAAAATAAATAAATAAATACATAATAGTAAAATTAATACCTTCTCAGGTTCGCATCGAATTAAAAATTGTTGTCAAGACTTAAAAATACATTTTTTTCTACAGCTTAGAAAAATCATGGGCTGAATTTGATAAACAATTAAAATGTGATCACTTACAGTATATTGGTTACAATGAAGGAATGGAAGATGATATGGACATGCATTCTAAAATAAAAAGACAATATTTATCTTCAATAAATAATATTAGAAATTGGCATGGTGTAGAACCTCTTAAACAAAATAATGAAGTAAATAATTTTTAAATAAATAGTAATAAGTAAAAAGTTATTAGCTATTGGAAACGTATCATAGTATCTTATTTCAATTTAGTAAATCGAACAGTTATTGTTATTGATAGCATAATATAACCTAAGAATAAAATAGCATAAGAATTATGGAGAATCATTATATCATGTTCATTTATCATATAACCCTACAATTTGGAGGGGCATAAGTCATTATAGAGCCTACAAAAATACGTGATGCTTTATGCACGAAGGGAAATAAAGTCCCATTAGTCGGTTATCTCTTTGTTCATCCCATATACCAAAGACATGGTATCAATTCGCACTCTTCCTGATCAAACCATTCCTTAAATAAACCCGTTATTCAATAAAATCCAATTTATCTAAGATATGTAGTGAAAATGAATTTTTATTCAACGACTTTGATACTTAATATTGCCTGTTTAGTTATTTAAAATATAAAATAAGCTTCTATCATATAGTCTATAATAACTATCTTTTATATTACTGGTATATTAACGTTATTAATACAATAATATGATCTTTAGTTGGATGTTTTTGCACAGTCATATGCAAATTATGAAGCCAGGGTAGAACGAAATGTTACATTCAATTCAGTTTTCGGACTATTGTTATCTTCTCGTCCTTATTTATTTTCTAATGACGTAGGAAAAAAAGTACCTTATGAATTATATAGATATTTTGATGATGATGATAAACCTTTTGATTTTGAAGCAAATGAGGATGAAATGATTAAAAGTAAGTAATAATTATAAATTATAATTATCCCCTATAAGTATTTTAGGAAACTTTTGAAAATATTTTATAATATACTGGTAACAACATTACAGTTTTTAACAGTGTATACGTACTTGATTGCCATTACACTAGTAGTGTGGTTATCTGTACTGCCGGCCAATCACCTGTCTCACACCACACATGCAAATAACCACCCAATTCATTATACTTATATAATTTGTTGTTATAGACGTTTATTTTTTGTTGTAAAAACGTTAAAGCAACTTTCAAGTTTACAAAAACTCTAAGAGTTATTCATTTTTTCTTTCGCACTAATTGCGAGGATCATTTATTATACAGCTACTCATTAGCTTAATAACTTGTTTCTTTGCTTTAACGTTTTTCATAATAGCCAGTAAATTATATTATTTTTATTCAACTATAAGACATTTTTATTTCATTAACATTGAGTTTAAGTTTTCTCATAATTTTTGAACAATAATTGTTTAATTGTCTATCCTATCGATATTTATTGAAACTTGTTCATTTTTATTTTAGTATAAAATTGTTATTTGTGTACGAATAATCATTCATATAGATTATCTTTATTAATTATTATTGATTAAATTATGTTAAAGTATTTAAATATTGTAGATAACTCTAAGATTAAAATTTTGAATTACTTATTGTTCAGTATAAAGAAGCTTAATTTACAAAGATTTTTATTATTGTTGGACCAGCAGTGTCATAAATTGAATTTTTTATTTCTCTAAGCCGCACTCATATTTTTCGAATAAGCTGAAAATATCACTTAATATTTATTTGATTGAGTTTTATTTATTTAATCAATTTAAAGGCCCTAAACACATAAAACAAAAAAACTTTTTTAACCAGCTTATATTAGTTTTACATGTATGTTTGTTTGTTGTCTGTTGTATGTTATTTGTAACTCTTCACTCGCCATAAAACCTTTTTTGTAGAATTATGTTTTCCATAAAAAATATTATTATAAAGAAGTCCGCATCCATAATATTTAGGCCTAGAATTTAAAAAACAACATATGTATATTTCAACCATTGAAATCAGTTTTATTCGTTTTCTTAAATATTGCAGGCGCACTATTGAACCTATAAAAAATAGTTTCATACAAAAATTGTTCAAAATTTAATTTTTATTATATTTGTTGTATTTTTAATTTATTTTTATCAAATTCAGTTGAACTATTTGCGTATTTATTCGCAAAAAATGATTTTATACTAATACACAAAACAAATTTATTATAATTACAGTCGCATATTGAAATTACAATATTTTAGCTTCGATGCGAAGCTGAGAAGGTATTAATTTTACCATGATGTGTTTATTTATTTTTTTTGTGTCTGTCACTACTTTTTCTCAGCTCTCACTGGACCGATTTCTTTTAACAATACGTCAAAAGATCACAAATTGTATCTAGTTGAAGACATTACCCTTAAAAATTTAAAAATTTTCCCTCGTTCCCCGCAAATGGGGGAAATATCCAAAAAAATTACAAATTTAAAAATCGACAAATTTTGTCATTTTTTTCACTTTTTTTTCTTAAAACTTCCATAATTTTTTACAAAAACTAACTTTTTCAACTTAATTTTTGAAAATGTTCCGAAAATACTGCGTCCTTTTAACATATATAAAATTAAAGCTTATTTTATGTACTATAAAATGAAAAAAAAAAAATTTGTGCCGACGACCCATCTTCAATGCGCAAAAGGCTACCGTATTCAAAAATATGCTATTTTAACACGCTTATATTAGTTTCACGTGTATGTTTGTTGTTTGTTGTTTGTCGTTTGTCGTTTGTAAGTTTGTAACTCCACGCGGCACGTGTTATTATTTCGCGTATGCCGTCGTCTATGACCTTGAGACTAGACCGTCGTAACGCATTCGCCCCACCCCGCTCACCAGTCAGCGCCAACACTATTTTAACACGCTTCTATTAGTTTCACGTGTATGTTTGTTGTTTGTTGTTTGTTGTTTGTTGTTTGTCGTTTGTAAGTTTGTAACTCCACGCGGCACGTGTTATTATGTCGCGTATCCCGTCGTGTATGTCCTTGAGACTATACTGTTGTAATGCATTCGCCCCACCCCGCTCACCTATCGTAGACAACAATATTTTCTAACCCGTAGACGCGCGCGTGTCATCAATTATGTATATATATAACAAATTTTTATTGTAATTGACACGGCCCGCGTCGTTTCATTATACACAATGCCCCACGACTCGTGCCACCTTTATCAGCCGTCGCCCTATTATGAGTATTTGACTGACCAACACCTCGCGTTATACGCCGCTGTGCAAAGTCCAGCAAGCGCCGCACGCCCGACGACATTCCGCCGCAAATGATAC